TCCATCCCTCCATCCCTCCATCCCTCCATCCCTCCATCCATCCATAATGATTATAATGATTGTATTTTATATATTCGGTTCCTATTAACTAGATTAATCATTTTCAACAGTGTGTCGGGACCGGCCTGGTAAGGAATACTATTGCAGAATATACAAGCGCAAAGGAAAATGCCGAACAGATTATGCCAACAGAAATTGCCGGAGGACTTGCAAAAAATGCTGACTTCAACATAACGGTAAGTCTACATGCATATTGCGTACTATTTAAGGTTGACTGGGGGGGGGGGGGGCAATCATATACAAATAGCAACTTTTTAGTCAAAACATGTCAAAATATGTCCTCAAAGTAATCTATCGACTGACTATTTCTACTGCCTGAAACCAGAAATCAAGATACACATACAACCTCCAATATCCTGCAAGCTGCCAAATATTAATTGCACCCCCCCTCCCCTCTCACCCCTAGTGAAAATACAGATATTACCGGAAGGGATATTGATAGTAAATGCATTAGGAATCTCTTGAGCAAAACGCTTATGACATGATTCTTAACTGTTTCTTTCAGAGTACTCGAGTGACGACTAGGGAACAACCAAGCAAAAGGGAAAATGCACTTCGAGAAACATCAAATCCTTTCCCAAGCGGCCTCCCCTCCCCTTCCCTCCCCTCCCCTCCCCCATGATTTTATTTCATCATTGTGTATAGGACTTATCCATATCTAAGTGTACTATCTTCTTTGGGCAAAAACATCGTCTTCGAATTCTTTACTATAGGACTATGGGACCTGATGTAGGATATTATTTAACATGTGCGTGCATATCGTATATATCAGCTAAATAAATATCAGCTAATATAATACAACTATTTTAGAGTCTCATCGCTGACCTCAGTGCGGAGCTAGAGGAATAGTGCGCAGACCTCTTACCCCCCCTCTCCCTCCCCCCAAGCTCCCCTAGCAGGTTTGTTGCGAAGTGTGATCGTTCTGGTGAGTGTGGTCCTCTCAAGACTGTTGTTGGTGGTGACTGATGTTTCGACAACCTGAGCGAAAGTCATCTTCAGAGTCCAGTGAGAAAATGAGACACAGTAAATATGTCTATCAGTCAGGTCTAATAATTTAGCAGGGTTATCGTATATTTTGTACGTCACGGCGAAAAGCAGACGAGGTGTATATGTATTTTTTTCTAATTTTATTCCCGTTTCTTGATCACAAATGCCTTTCTTGAAAAGCATTTCATTTTGAGTCCAAAATGATGGTTTATGAGCAAGAGCGATGTCCCCAGAACTGTGCTTCCTTGAGCTCGGGATGGTTGTTGTATCCATAGCAATTGCAGATTGGACCACCAAAAAAGGTTTTGGTGATGTGCGCATCAACCGCTTTGCATCCATCCTTCCTTTCACAGGTACTGGCGCATTTGCCTTCGCAATTCCTTAACCCACTGGCAGAAGAACCTGTTAACAGCAACAAAGAATTAGGTTTTACTCCCTCTTCTAAACCTAATGAGTTAAAGATTATAATTCGATCTGTGAGTTAGCCGTGCCTTCTCGATTTTGATCAGCCAGAGGTTCAGTTCAGGGTTCAATCTGTGAGTTATCCGTGCCCTGACTTTGATCAGCACAGAGGTTGTTTTAGTGTTGGATCTGTGAGTTAGCCGTGCCTTGATTTTGATCAACCCAGAGGTTGTTTTAGTGTTGGATCTGTGAGTTAGCCGTGCCCTGACTTTGATCGATCGGCTGCTGCCCAGTGGTACAAATAGACCTCTTAGGCTTGGGCGTAATGTTGCCACATTTCAGACCCCAATGTCATTCCCTAGAGTATTATTTCTTTGTTTAAAGGTTGCGCATGAGAAGACACATAAATATGAATAAAATTCAAACAAAGAATTTTGTTCTCTAGGGAATGACATGTGGTCTGAAATGGGAAAACATTACGTCCATGCTAAAGAGGTGTTCCCTCTACTAAGTGGTTCAAAACGGACCCCTTACGGTCGGTACACAATCCGACTTTCCCGCACATGGTAAAATTATAGCATCTTTCTCGCGCRTTTATCTAAACTGCAAGGAAAGTACAAAACCATTAAAAAAAAAGAAAAACATCAACAAACAATAACTGAGAAAAAACAGAGAATATTCTCAGTAAAGGTTGATAGCCTGGGCCGGATTACCGTGAGTCGTAAAATAGAAGCTGACCGAGAATAACTGATGCATGCTTGTACCTTTGAAACCTTGTTCCCAGTCGGGAGACGTAGCACCTTTTTTGTTTCCAACAGAAAAATTACACTCAACAGCTTGTGTTGGGAAGTAATCCGTGAGGAACATCAATACCACAAGGGCGCAAGCTATCTTCAGGACGGCCATTGTTTTCTTACCACACGGGCGTTTCTCTTCAGTACCTGTAACACAAAAAATATATATTACTTTGAACTTATCAGAATTTTATACTTCAGTTTCCAGTTTAGTTTTCAGACTCTCGCTGACCATGATTGTGATACTGTATTAGTTCTGGTCGATGTTACTAGAACTGACAGAATTGATTGAGCCTAAGACCAATCCATAGCCGCGCTGTATCTTACAGTAGTCACAACTACACGACGCTGTGATTGATTGAATTACTGAAAATGACAATGAGAAGCCATTTCAGTGCTACGGCATGTGGTAACTGCTCTAAGTTAGTATCTCATGTTTCCCAATGATGCAAAAGCTGCTCTAATAATATCAACAGCGGTAGACTACAGATAACGAAAACAGAAACGGGAGACATTAAGCTAAGCGGCTGTTATAGTTTCGAAAATTCACATACTTCTACTACGTGACACACATTCTACTAGAATCAGCAAGACAAGTTCATTGGCCACTAGAAGAAAACCAAAATTCACATTTAAAACTAATAACGCTTTTCTTAGTTTACCTTTTTGCTTGTTCCGCTGAACTTCTCGTTGCAAGTGTCCTTTCAGAGAGAAGCAAGCACTGCTTTTATGTCCATCGAGTGGAAATAGAACAAACAATGACACGTGGGAACGGTAAACACCAAAAGAAAAGACAGTTTCTCGTTAATTAGTTTTGGCGGGAAAACAAAGGCAACTTTACCAGTCACAATAATCTTATCCTGTTGATATTTTCACAGGTCAAAGTTACTATGTGTGTAATTATCAATGCAATTACTCATATTTATGTTTTTTTAACATCTAACGGCTCCGGCGGTCCGGTTTTGAGTTTTGTTTTTGTTTTGTTTTGTTTTGTTTTGTTTTGTTGTTGTTGTTGTTGACAGACCATAGAAAAGAATCTTTTTTTGACAGCTCATAGAAAAGAAATGCTGCGCGTTTTTTGCACCACCAGTTAGACATTCACCCTTTCACCCTTTTGTTACCGGAATTTAGTGCTTGCTTTAAGCAAGAATTGATAATAAGCCTGAAGCGAGATGACGTTTTACCCCCGACTCTATACCATAATAGTTTTTGAAATTCTTTCATATTAAAATTTTTGATTCCTTAGAGAATACAGGAACGATAGTCATAATTAAAGAACAAAAACAGTGTTAAAAAGATTATGGTCTAGAGACGGGGGTAAAACGTCATCTCGCAACAGGCTTATTGTCTAATATTCACTGCACAAGAGAAGGGGGTGGTGTAGACAGGTGTTATGAGACACTTTGTCGTTATCGATAGCTTGAAAAAGCCTCTGCCGGGCTGATCAAAGTCACGACACGCCTAACTCACAAATCGAATTGGAAATTAACGTGGTATTGCGGAGGGAGGAAAACCGGAGAACAATAATAATAGTGTAGGGGGGAGGGGGAAGGGATTAGTAATAATTGTGTTTTGGATAATAAGTGGGGGGTACACGATGCGATTTGCTCCAGCTCCACCCTCCCTCCCAGGAAACTAAAAAATAATTTGGTTTCTCCAAACGAACGAATTGGAAACTCCCTTTCCTCATCAATAAGAACTCTAACACTTGTTACGTTATCATCTGTTGAGCCAAACCCTAAAACCTACTTGTTTAAATCTGCTTTTCTTGTTAATTACGTATCGAGACTGAAGCGCGTCATTAACAGTCCATTTTATTATCTATTATCTATTCCATATTCCTAGTATAGACGAGACGTAGCAGCTAGTTACTTAGCAATATACACTACTGAAATTGAATGGCCTATTTAAGCTTTCTAGGCACATACATGTACACCTAATTCAAAAAACGTTGTGGATAGGCAATAGTCGATAGGCGAAAAGCGATAGGATATATGTCATTCCAAGATCCAAGAATAGCTGGAATGACTWGTGTTTCTTATTCTTATTCTCGTCAAGAGTATGGACCTTAGTGTTGAGACTGATTCGATGTTCTTTGTATTCAACGAAACCATTTCCATGTCGGAATGACATATCGTCTATCGCCCGGCTTAGTGGCGATGACAACGTTTTTTTGAATTAGGGTGTATATAGAACTTTACAATTCGAAACGTATTAAACTGTTCCATGCAAAACCTAGTGTAATGTATCTCAAGTCCTCCGTACAAGGCCCTATAAAGACCTTACCCCCAAATAGATTTCAGAAATGCATTCGAATTGTTCTAGTCCCTTAACTTCAGTGTCTTTTCACAATTTCATTGAACACCAGTCGCACTGTCGGTTAAACGGAACACCTAATTAGGTTCGGGGGCAAAAGCCATGAAATGACAGGTTTTTTGAGTTCCGACGTTAAACTGCAACTGGTGCAACTGGTGGGATGAACTTTCACTCACTTTATTTGATCGAGTACCGTTTCTTATTATCCTTTCTTTTTAGATTTGAAACAGGAATAGCTAGTTTATTAGATGTATCATTTGGTCTGGGCTTTTATTTCGGGGTTTACGTGGAACCGAAAAAAAAAAGAGGGAAAGAGAGACTGAGATGAAGGGAGAGAAATAGAAGAGAAGGAACGAAGGAAGAAAGGGAAAACTATAATTAAACAAAAACTATGCTAGGTCAACTTTTGTAACATCAATTGTCAGTTAGCATTCTTTACAACAGTCTGTCGTGTTTTTCTAAATAATTCCTTGTTCAACTTTTAAAAATAAAAGTCCTATATAAACGGTTTGATTGCATGCTCTGGTTACTGAGTTGAGTCGGAGTTGAGAGGTATAGACCCCCTTCCAGTCTACACCATCGCCTGATAAAGACTAGCACTAGTATGATGTAGCAGTCGAAACGTCTGATCTTGGCCCACCTAACTGCCACAATCGTCTCTCTCCCCCTCCCTCTCCAAGAGTAAAAAATCTCTGACTTTTGAGCCTCTTTGATGTTAAAGGTATATTCGACTTCCGATTGCCAGTGCGGATTGATCTAGACTTAAAATGGAGTCTCAAAATATAAAGCACAAGATTTGAACAACAATGGTTATCATTATTCTTCGATTGCACGTTACGTCATTGCGGCCATGTTGGTGCCATTTAACAAAAGATTTCTCATTAGCATCCATTGTTAACGGCACCACAATGGCCGCCATATTTTGTCTTTTGACTCTCTTGGGAATGCTTTTATCCATGAAACATTAAAATACTTGAGGGAATGTCGTTTATTCTTCATGCAGTTTTTATGATTTTGAGCATGATTTGAATCATTCATTTCTTTGAGTATGAGTCAATACACGGAGCTTGAGGAGCTCGACGCTGTTGTGGTCACTCAAGATCTTTTGTCTTTTGAGTCCGGAACCCTTTCTGCTTACCTCAGCGATTTATGAAAAACAAGATGGCGACAAAAATAAGTTCATTGAAAGTTACTAGAAATGAAGATATCGCGAAGAGAGAAAAAGAAAGGGTTGTTTATGAAAGCACAGCATGGTCTGTACCTCGTTGGTCGTGGAGCACGGTTAGACACATTTAAAATTTTAATTTCAATTGACACTTGAAGAGTGTAGACGGTAGAAAATTCTCTGATTTTTTTAGATTCATTTCGATTGAAAGGTTGAGAAATTTATTATGTGGTTGTCATATATAAAATATCYATTTGSCATTGAAACTGCATTTTTCYTGTTTATTATTGAGATTCTTGTTCATGCACACATTTTCTGTCCACAATCGAATTACATTCATAATATTGAAGCATTCAAACAAAGACAAAAAGGCTTCATTAGTATGCTATGTATAGAAAGTCACTCTGAATACTAATTTCTTGACCCCACTTCAAGGCCCCCACCACTTGACACCTAAGTTTCTCTATGAGATATAGAACACTGAAATACTGGACGCTGATTGGCTGAGTGGGAGTGAGCATATTCTGAGTACTATTTACTGAGTGCTTTTTCATAGATAACGTAATTGACTCTACAACGTATACAAATATATGCAGCGATGTGAAGTGCATGCTTTCTCCTCATGTAAATATTTTTGGTTGTCAATAGTTTTTCCTCTTCCGCTCCCTTTCCTTTCGTTTCTTTCCTTTTTTCCMCATTTATTTTCAATTTTCAATTTTCAATTTAATTTCTGTTCACCTTCTTCTCTGAAATTGTTCTTTTGTTTATTCAGTGATGATTATTTCCCTTTAAGATGATTTGCGTTCATTTACATCTATTTTTCCCTAGTCTTGTCATTCTTTCTCGAATATTCAATTARTCTAGTTGTCTCTGATTTTTTCAAAAATGTTCCTTCTAAACGTTTCAGTCGAGATACTACGGCCTTCATCGGCCGTGGAATGATGGCTAGTGCAAATAACATTCTTGCATTCTTTCTCTTTCTCTTTTATTTATTTACCGCCTTTGGTTTTTCTTCTTTCCTTGTCTTGGTCCATATCCTGGACGTGAAAAATATCCCATCCGTAAATTATTTTTATCCCAMAATAAAGATTTTCATTAATCAGTCCAACTCCTCAACATAGCGGAAACAACATGTTTACCAACTCTCCTCTAAATTGATTTGTGCTTCCCCTGTTTGTGTAAAGTGTAAGTCTTGAATTAAAGCAACAAACTTTTGGTTCAATCTCGGCAAACATTCAAAAATAGTTAAGTCATCTGCACAATTAGAATTTGCTCAGTTCGGTTGAGATCTCAGCGAAGAAACGAGACGACTCCGGCATTCTTTTAGCTTGGGGTATTCTTTGTGCTGAGCATATGGCTTCGTTTGAATGGATTCTGGTCGTCATTCTTGGTATTTTAGCCGACGTTAATCAGTGTCGGGCGTCCACGAGCCAATCTCTAATAACTGCTGCTCCTACTAACTTAACAAGTGGAAAATCTGCTGGTGAGAAAAATTTTCCAAGCTATTGTTGTTTTATTTTCCATCTTTTTCTAATTGTTAGCATTTTTTATTTTATTTTCTTTGATTCGCTTTTTAAAAAAAAAAAAATTGAATGCTCTGATCTTTTACTTTTTTGATTTAGTATGTTATTAGCGGAAACGGGTTATCGAAATGCTATGCAGGTTTAATTTTAAGAGAAAAACAACTTTGGGTTCCCTGTGTTCTACCGTGTCGAACCAAGATTTCTTCTTAGATATTTGAACAAATCACTCTTGATGGAAACGAGTGGGAAACTGGGCGTTCGCTTATTTCAGGTCGCATTTTCTTGGTTCTACAGTAACCGCGATATTGCATAGATATACAACACAACGATATAGATAAAATTTATGGGAAGTCGTGAGAAACTCCGGCAAATTTGCTGCTTAATCCAGTTTGCACTTTAATTAACCATTTTCAGATGGGTATATTAGATATAGGAAAGATATAGTGAAAGTGAGCGTGGCGAGGGGAGGGGAGGGAGGATAAAGCAATGCTAAATAATCAATAAGAAATCTATACGAAAACTGAGGCGCCTTAAGGACTTCAAACGTCATATGGCTATTGAGCATGCGCAGTTGTTCCCCTTTTGTGACGACAGCGTTTCATTCGAAAATCTTTAATTTCGCCACCAACACATAAACAAGAAGTCGGTGGTTTTGAACAGGTTTGTCTTGAAACAACACTGGAAGGGTGGAGGCCAAACGAAAGAGAGAAAAGAATGCTTTTTGAACAAAAAAGTTCCCACGTGGTAGGGTCTAGTTTTTGGCTGGTCGCACTGAAAAACCGAAGAAAGACCTTTTGAAAAAGCTAGCTGATTTGGTGCGATTTTGAATGATTGAACTAATATAATTTTTTATGGTCTATGTAATCAACAGGTCCTTGTTCGTCCGTTACTTACGCATATACCTCAGAATGCCAAACCGATAGAGAAAATTACCTTCGACAAACCAGAACTACTTACCAGCTCTCCTCTTCCCCCCTTGGCCTATTCCCAGTCATTAGCCTTTCRTCCAATGAGTTGACGGCTCTTCTAAGCAGTGACCCCCTGAATGGCCATTGGATGAAACTCTACAAGGAAACTATTTTCAGGAATCTCAAGCTTTCTTATGGTTTCATTATGGCGTATCACGATACCGAGTTTACGACTTTGGAACATTATAATGCTTTGTTTAACTTCTTTGTTGACTCTCAGCACATGGATGTGTTACCTGTAAGTGAAAGAAATTATACAGAAAAAATTCTCATTTATGGAGTCTCTTGGATACTATGTTTTTGATTTTTTTCCTACTAAAATGCCTCTTTTAAAATTGCCTTGGATGCGATAGGTTAAGTAATATATACAGTATGAGTGGCCGTGTTGTATCCGATATACAACCACGAGGCGTAGCCGAGAGTTTGTATATTGGATACAACACGGACACGAATACTGTAGATTACTTATCAAACGTCTAGGTTAGTTCCTTTGTGTTTCGCTAAAATTTTAAAGATAAAAGTGAATCTGGCCAAGAAAATCCATTTTAAAGTTTATGCAAATGAACAGGATTCTGTATCTGATTTACAGAACTCTTCACGGTCGTGATTTCTGTTGTGTTTTCCTCATTAATTATTAATGAGTTTAATAACACTTGCATTGTGCAAATGTCATCGAGAAGAAATTTGAACGTGATTACTCCTGTGATTGGTTAGGTTTAGGGGCGGAGTTGGGGTAAGGTCATTGTTTTCTATTGTTCTACACATGTGTACCCTCCAATAGGATCACATCTTGCAAATTCGTGAAGGACGACTCCCTAGTAGCCTCGCAATTAAGGTTATTCTGAAGGGCGCCATCTTCACATCAGACTTCTCTATGTTTTTCTTTCGATCCTTATAAAGAATTTGAATATGTAATTTTGTAGGAAGATCAGAAATACTTCAAATTCCACTTCAAAGATCCCAGCATACCTTTCAAGAAGCTTTCAAGTCTGTGCAAATGGAAGGAAGACAAGTACTTCACAGAACAAAGACTTGCTGGAATCAATCCCATGTCAATACAAAGAGTTACATACAGTAAGTTCAGTCTGTACACTACATGATAATGACCATTTGGGTCTGCTAGATAATATTCAGTCGAATTGACCACTTCCTCTAATTCTCAGTGCAGCTCAAGTGGAGCTCAAAGCAAAAGAATTTCGATTTTCACAATGGTAAAATTCTATTGCTTTGTCCTCCAACATTCTTTCCTTCATTGTGAATCTGACAAAAGGAAAAGGGAGTCTTATACATGATTTATGCATAGTTTTCTTTCTTTTTATATTTTAGTATTTGAACACCAAATGACTACTGACATTAGATATTCTTTCTTGAGTATCCATAACATCTATCGGATAAGAAAGGTCTCAATTTTTGCAAAACAATGGTCCATCGTACTATATTTTAAAAATATAAAGCTACGCTAAAAGAGAACGTAACTTCCACATAGCGAAATAGGGAGTTTAACCCCTGAATTAACCCGCCTTTCCATTCCCATAATTCCATTGCTTACCAGAACTACTTGCTTTCTACGCAGACGCCCTTAGGGTCTGTCACGCAACATTTTGTTTGGAGGGAAACTTGGTGCTTGGTTTCCTTTGAATGCCTTTTATTTTTTACATAGATTCTATTGGTGTTCACGCTAACAACCTGTTAACAAGACTCAACACTAAAACAAATTGGGATGCTCTGACATATGACGCCATTGGATATAGTCGCTTCCAAGATGTGAGTATTAATAGTATTCACATGCGGGTCGAGYTTGTTACGTATTTCCCTTGATTAGTTAAGGTTTCTATTTTCTCTGGGTTCCCGGTTTTCCTCCCTCCTCAAAACCTAGCCATGCCCTGACTTTGATCAGTCCATAGGTTGTTTCAGGGTTTTGATGTACAAATAAAGTGTAGATTTGACCAAATTGACAATTAGTGTAGCTCAATAAAGATTCTGTGGGAGGAGGTTACTAGGATTCGAAGGAGGTTGTGGCAAGAGGCTGTAATCACTTACACTGATGATGGCAGAAGGACTGCCTAAACATGTCTGATAGATTAAAAAGCTGTTGCAATTTGTCTCAAAGTTTTGTTAATCTTACTGCTTGCCAGACCATTAATTTGTACGACTTAAATCATACTGCAATCATCGATCATTGCTGTCTTACTTTTTGCAGGCAATAGCCAATGGATACGTCTACATCCTGCAATACCCAGAATACGACGGATTAAAGACCAGACCAGAGCCTACTTCTTCTACAAGGCAAATCCTCAATGCAACCTCGCCAATAACGATCTTCTTTTCCAAACGAAGCAGGATCCAAGGAAAACCGAATGAACTCATCCCTGTTGCAATTCAGATGGGCCATACTGCAGGTAAAATTTAGTTGGAGTGCCTTTTCAGACCTTGTTCATGTTCAAACTAGTTAATCTTTCTGGAGGCACATTGCGTGCACATAATAAGGTGTATATGAGTAAGAAGATGGATTGGGCTGCAAGGAACGGGACAAACGGCGCAACTCTGCGCGCAATATGCAGGCAATGTTGCTGAAGAATGATCGTTTTCTATTCAGCAACATTACATGCATGGATTGCGTCGTGTAACATTTACCACTGCACAAAGTAATTTCCGCATATTTAAATATGTTGCTCTAGTAATAGAAAACTCAAGCTTTCGGACTAACCTACCATCAGGATAACATAGCATTAATATTTTATCACTAATCCTATTGATATTGTATCAGTCCATATTTAGAAAATCACAACATTTCTATTTTTTATTTATTTACAACTTTCGTTCATGGATGAACTAAAAAGATTCTCCCGTTGTGACACCCGACAACCCTGATGCCTGGCTGGCAGCTAAACTGACCGTCCAGTCAGTAGACTTTGCCTATGGACAAACCGTTGAACATCTATTAAAAACCCATTTGTTTATGGAGCCAATCTGCGTGTGCCTTTACCGTCAGCTCCACAAACTTCACCCTCTCCATCAAATCCTCAAATACCATTGCCGAGGTATTTTGGGGACCAATAAGTTTGGCTTTCCATATCTTGTTCATTCCATGAATGGTACTATGGAGAAGCTGTATACTGTTGGATATAATGGAGCGCAGGCCATGTTACTGAAGGCGATGAGTAAAGTTAAGTGGGAAATCACAGATTTCAAAAAGAATATCAAGGTAAAACAGTAAACTAAGTTGCTGATACACTATTGTATATGGCAACATTACCTTTGATAAAATATTTGAGCGCGCGGATTGGCTGACTATCGTGTTTATATCAGAGGATATAGATTACGCGCTAGCGCAAAATCGTTCAAAAATATTATGAAAAAGCAATATAAATTGCTGCTTGTGTCTAGATCTCTGTACTGTGATATAAACACTCTGGGAGCTGTAGAGCACTCGAGAAGCAAGAAAAACACTCGACTTCCTAGTGTGCCAATTCTCCGTTAAGTCACGTTAAGTCATCGTCGCCATATTGGTGGCATTTTAGCAAAAACGTTCCTCATTAGGTTCCGATCGTTAATATTGCCAACATGGCGGACATGACGTGGTCTCTATCTTTTGACTCTCTTGGGAAAAGTTGCAATCCATCAATTTTTTTTCCATTCTTCCTTCTTCCTTGGTTTAGCCACAGGTTGCCCATAGATATTTTCTTGCAGTAGACCGTGGGAGTGTTTTTTATAATCTGAAAATTAATAACATGATTTTTTTATCTTGCAATGCGAGGGGCCACTGAACATAATCTAACAGACCGTTTTTCTATGATCATGCACTAAACGTTGCTTTCGATGACCTCTTTATGTTGTATCAATGCCCCTTTCTGAACTCTAGCGACAATTATTTAT